TAGCTACTTTGTTGCCTATTTTGTGTCCATCATTTAGTCTAGTATCTTGCAAGTGATGATGCTCAACATAGAATTGGCTAAATGATTGCTGGAATGCAAATAGTACCTATCTCTTTAGAGTCGTTGTGGGTGATATTTCTTTAATTTATATCTTTTGTACTTAAGATATTTCTGCAATGAATATGTGTTTTCTAATTCTCAGGAGGAAAAAGGAAATAGTGTCATTCCAGAATTGGAGAGCCTGGCCAAAAGGAACTTAAAAATGAGATTACTAGAATCCAGTCAAGGATCTGCACCAGCAAATCAACTGAGGAAAAACATGGCATTCAGGTGCCATGGGTGGAGTGTTAGGTGAAGTCAAGCTGGTCCATCCAGAGCTGCGCTTTCCTACATAGTAGGCATCACTGTATGGCTATTTAGTTTATACTTAAGTTAATTAAAATGAATTAAATTTAAAGTTTAGTTCCTTGGTTGCACTCACTACATTTCAAGTGCTGGATAGCCATATGTAGCTAGTCGCTACTATATTAGACAGTACCGATATAGAACATTTTCATCATAGTAGAAAATGCTACATCACAGCAAGTACAGGGTCTACAGTCTGGGAGAGTAGATATCAAGGGACAGGAATCAGAAAAGAACAAAGACTTTGGGAATGAGGCTGAGCAACGTGAAGCCACACAGCGGAAAGAACAGACTCTCTTGGCCAGGGCCAGAATCATTCTATACGAGTGACCACCCAAACCGGTATCTGTGTCAGCCGGGTACTATGTCCTGATTTGTTATAAGTGGTTGGGGGTGAGTGGGCAGGGCAGCTGTTGAAAAGATTTCCTGGGGGCAGGAATGAGAAATGAGGGAGTATGGCTAGATTGTATGTAGTGGTGGTTGAATACTGAATGCCTGTCTTGTTTCTCCTTTCGTTGTTTTTCCATTTTCTTTAAGATATTGAAGTATGCATTCTGATACTAGTGGCCACACTCCTACATTGCTTAAGTGTATCTCAGCATCGTTTTTTTTTTTAATGTATTAAGGCAGCAGGGTAAAAGGCAAGCAACCAGTTTATTCAAACTGAGCAATAAAAGGATAAAACCTCGAATGTTGGATTTCACTGTGTTGAATGATTTTCTATTTCTCAAGCAAATATGACTCAGATTGCAGATATAAGGGGCACTGAGAACAATCAGACCATGTGCACGGACACAATTCCAAATACATAGAAAGGTGCTAATGTGCCAGCAGCCTGAGCCATTTGGGTTCGAGGATCCTAATAGCAGCTTAGGCTTTTCGTGAGATGGTAACTTAATGATGTAGCCACTAATTTGAATTTAACAGACATTTTAAATATAGGTTTCTCTTACAGAGACAAAAGTTGCAATTTAAAGCTCTTTGGTGGTCTAAAAACAGCTTAATTCTGTAGTCGCATGGTAATAAGTACTAATCCAGCTTATGCAGTGATTGTAGTATGTCATGTTTGTGAAAGATTGCCCAACTGCTTTCTCTGGGTTTTATGTTAATTTAAAAATATTAAACATAAAACCTTATAACATCTTCACGCTGAGATAAACTGTTCAATTTAACTTGTGCTCAAGCAGCAGCTGTCAGGAATTATCTTGTTCCTACTGGTGTTTGCTATCACCTTGTGCCCTTTCCTGCCAGACACGCAGTGTGGGATGCTAAAGCTCACCTTGCTGGGATTTATTGCTTAAATAATACCTGAGGCAAGAGGAACATGGGGAGCCGGGGGATTAGCTGCTGGTGGAGGGATGTCACTCATTGTATGATTGTCAACTTTTTTTTTTTTTAATTGATGGGAGGAAGCAAAGTGAAAACTGCCTATAAGTCACACCTGCCTTTGTTCCTTTTGAAGGCATTTCATGGCTTATTTTGGGGGGAATCACCAAGCTGAATATTTGAGGAGTTGCTTATTGTCCAATTGAACTGCCCTTTCCCAAGTGAAAAAGCAGAGACCTGTTTTACTAATGATAGAGCTAATTTCCACACTTTAGGAGCATGAGGGCTATCTCACGATCAGCAATAAAAATATAATGAATTTCCTGTTAATGATTGAAGAAACTACAGGAAGTTGGTGTGGTTAATATTTTGAAAATCTGAATGTATTGCATTATTTGATTTGGGAGTATGACTTGGAAGGCTCAACTTTAGATTTGGATTCCTTCATTTCGGATCAGCTCGGAGGATGAGAAGAGAAGGAGTGTGGTAAGAATAGGACTTACCTTGGTTAAACATTTTCTACAGATTTCTCAGGTCCACCCTGAGGATAATTCTCACGTAGGAAATAAACAATTGGATTATGACTAAAAGTACATATATAATGGATTTATTGCTTATGGTATGTAGCATAGTTTACTCTTCTACTTAAGGCCATTTTGTGCATATTGCCCAAAATCATAGTTTTATAATGTATAACTTAAAATTTTTTTTGCAAGACTAGATCATTGAATTACAATATGCCAGTCACTTAATTGTTAATATTTGCACATTTTTATTTCTCTATGTAAATATATACATATAAATATTTATTATTAGTAGCCTTTTGACTGAACAATTTAAGAATTAGTTGCAGACATCATGTAATGTCACACATAAACAATTCAACAATCATCCTAAAAAGAAAGATAATTTCCTTTTTAACCCAATAAAATTATTAAACTTAAGAAATTTAAGACTAATTGAAATTTATAATCTTATATTCAGCCCATATTCAGAGTCTCCCTGTTGTCCGTATAATTTCCTTTATAGCTGCTTTTTCCCTATCCAGTATCATAGTGGCATTTTGCTCTGGAGTCTCTTTACTTTCCTTTTATCAATATATTTTTTTTCTTTAATGACATTGACCTTCTTGGAGATCTAGCTCAGTTATTTTGCAAGATATGTGTCTGTTTTCTCATGACCAAATTCAGATCAGGCATTTTTGGCAGATTTGTATCTTTCTCATTGGTGATTTGAATCTTTGTCAGTATACTGTATTAGAAAATACACGATATCAATTTGTCTCATCATTGGTCATATTTAGTTTGATCACTTGGATAAAATCATGTCTACCAAATTTCTCCATTTTAAAGGTACCGTTTTTTCTTTGAAGAATCTTAAACTTACTCAGGTCTTAATGATTAAGAATGGATGTGTATGTTGGGGCTGGGAGCAGGGATACGGGGAAAGGGGGAGAATTTTCCAATAAGTAGACCCACAAATGGCCATCCAGTTTCTTTTAAGGAAAATATTAATTGAGATTAATGTTGTTGTTGTTTTGTTCTCTCTACTAAGAATAAGATTTGTAGATAAGCAAATACCTTCATATTTCAGAATTTTCAATTTAAGTTCCTGGAAGACTTGTACACGGTGGTGGTGGGAATATTTTTGGTGAAAATAGGGCATTTTCTGGCAATAGTTTTTTCTCTTTGCTATAGTTAGGTACACAGAGACAATTTAAACAATAGTGCATCTTCTTCGTAAGATTTTTAATTTTTTTTATTTTAGAGCAACAAACCATGACATTAATATAGCAGTGTGGGTGTAAAATTGAGATCACTGCGTTTTGATCAGATGTGCCTTTTGTAGCCCATGAAGAAGGCACTTGAATTCCTACTTATGATACATGCACTTATTTTGTAATCACTCTTCTTATGTGAAAGGCTAGTGCTGCAGATCATATAAACACCTGAAATTAGCCATTTGGCTTGTCAACCAGGGAGGATTTATAGGAATTGTAATCATGGTAATAACAAGGATGATATTTTGTATTTATTAAGTACAGAAAAATGCATTTGCAGTGTAACTCGTCCATGACCAATTCATGTCCCTGGCGTGATGGAAAGCACTTGGGGCTGATAGCACCGGGAGCCCCTGCTTTGCCACTTTCCACCAGTGTGACTCCAGGAACACTCACAACCTTCCTGAACCTCAATTTTTAGATGGGGAATTAAAGCTGTAAGAGTCAAATGGTGCTGCATTATGTTATAAAGGTGGTATTCCCTCAAAACTGTGCCATCTAAATGTACTTGGCTGCCCAGGGACTGTAATTTGCACCTCGTTGTCCATGAGGGATAGAACGTCCTCTGTGAGACGTTCCCAGACAGTTACCTCTCCTTCCTTCTGTTACTTCAGTACTCTGTATATGTCACTGTTACGGACAGTATTCATTGCAGAATCAGCCTGTCCATCTTTTCTGATCTTCCTGACTAAACCCTGGCATTAGTAAATGTTTGGGGAAGAAGTGAGTTGATAGACACGTTCCCTTATAAACATGGTAGGTATGCTTTCAGTTCTCCTCACCCCTTCTCCAAAGAAAGGGAATCAGTCAGCCTTTCTTCATTTAAAAAATATTTATGTTCTATATAAGGGGTTTAACAAATTGTATATCTGGTGCCGCTAGCAGTCCAGTAGCAGAGAAAAAATATTAGAATCCCCCCATCAGAAATATTGCAGAATAGTTAAAAAAAAAAAAAAAAGGTGGGGGGAGGCATGGTGAGAAAACATACCAAGAAGAAAAGACTATACTAGATAAGTCTATTGCATAAATCAAAGGGTTTCTGTCATAACATGAGCATGTGCCATTCCTGCTTGTATATTGAATTTCAATAGTTGGTTGCATAAAGAAGTAAAGTGTAATGAAACTGGCAAGCCAAGTATTCCCCAGTCAGCCTTATCTTTGTTCCATTTGTCCTTCAGATAGAGCTTTTCTTGCCTTTTTCAATAAAATCCATCCAGCTTCTTCTTTTTTATTTATTTATTTTTTTCATCCCTCAGTAACTGAGCTGAGAAGACCAATGATATTTGGAGTTTTTATAGTTTTTAGCAGCTCCTTTTTTCAGAGATCAAGACTTGGAATGCCGCTACATGGTATTAATTCTTAACTACGGATGCGTCCCTGTAGGGCACGTGTTCTCTGGGGGTAGGATGTGGGGAGGGGAAAGAAGGGCAAAGGATGACCCCTGTCAAGCTTGCTCTGGACAGTGAACCCTCATTTCCTTATTTCCTAGGACCCTCTTTGCAAGCTCAGTGCTTAACCTGACCGAACTGGCTGCCCTTCGGCCTGACCTTGGGAAACTGAGAAAGATTCTCTACTTCCACGAGAACCAACTGGTGTATCCCGTCAAGAAATGTCAGGAGAGGGATTTCCAGTATGGATACAACCAGATCCTATCATGGTAGGTCTCGGCTGTATCATGATATTTCGTCCTTTGCTATTTTTATCTCTGTAGATGGTTAGCTTTTAAATCTGGAGACCTATTATACCCTTATTTTAAAACACCTTATGATAGGTACAAGTGTTTATTTAAGCATACCTTCCATAGTAGTGATTACTTGTGCCTCTGCAATATATGTCTAGGATCACAGCTAATCCTTTTATATATATGGGTGTGTGTGTGTGTGTGTGTGTGTGTGTGTTTGTGTGTGTGTGTGTGTGAGTGTGTGTGTGTGTGTATATGTATATAAAATCTAATTATATGTTGAACTAATTATCTATTTTCTACAACATTCACAATGGAGTCAGAGGGCTCCCGGGACCTTCTTCACCCTTGATTCTCTCATCTGCTGTTTAAGACATGCTTTCAGGAAAGGGCAGTCAGTCTGCTCTCTTGCCAATCACTTTCAATGAATTCAGCAAAAACCAAAATAGAAATTTCCAGAGGAGTAAACAAAAAATAAGACATAATGGAGCAAGGAGTTTTTGTTCATATATATATATATATATATATATATATATATATTTTTTTTTTGTAAGAGAAAACTCTGGAAAATGAATCTTTATGTAGTTGTTGGTATTTTTCGCCCCCTCATTGAGTCTTCTGAACTTGCACTGCCTTAAAATACCATGACATTTCAAAGGTGATGGTCCTTCTCTCTTGTTACTTCAACAAAGTGTATCTCCTGAAGCTTATTTAATGAAAGAAGTTAATAACAACCCTGAAACGGCTTGGCTGTTGCATCCTATCCACAGAACTGCCACAGTTGAATCTAGTAAGTTTGGCTGTGGATGGCTAATTTTTACTCACCTTTTTAAACCATTATTAGCAGTTGGGATTGATGATGTGTTTAAAGAGACTCTCAGCTCTTGCAGGTATAGTCCGTACTTTACTTGACATAGAAAAGCAGCTCTATGGCTGCTTCTGTGTTTTGAGCATTTTGCAAATGCTTTTCTGCAATCATTTTTACAAGCTGCTTCAATTGTGAAGTAGTAGCAGTGCTATCAAAAAAGAGTGGAACTGCTTCCCATCAAATGTCTCATAAAAAAGCAACCATTTTAAAATTTCATAATAAAATTAAAATACTTTCTTTTATATTGAAACAGAGAAGGGAAATATGTTTTAAAAACAAAAATAAAATCATTTTGTGCTTTATCAATATGGAAAACATTTGTAATATTCTTTTGATTCCTTGAATTAGCATCATTCTTTTCCTCAGATAGTGTGAGTTTATTACCCTTGAGAAATAACTGGGGGGAAAAATTAAGCCTATTTTTCCCTTTATGGGTGGCTTTAAAGTTAATGGAAGTTACACTCACTCATATCAGGAAGGAAATGCATGAAAAAGAGTATTTCTGTAAGCTATCTTGGATATTTAATTTAGCATAGACTGGGTTTTAAGATTGTAAGTAGTGGGTTGTATGCGGATATTTGGGGGAAAAATTTTTAACTTACTGCCCCTCCTCATCTCTCTCTTTCATAAAAGATTGTTTTTGCTTGTAGCAATGAGACTATAAGCACTTCTACATGATTTTTCAGCATTGCTCTTCTCAAGAGGGTAAACTGTTAGACATGCTTGGAGAGAAAGAAATGGACTTGATCATTGGTTGGCTTGTTCATAAGAAAAAAAAAGGCTCACAGTTGTCCAGAGGAAAAATAAGAGTGTCTGGAAGCAGTCCTGTTCAGATTCTCTTTGAAACGTATGACTCCCGCTTCCTCAAATGTTTCTCTAGTTTTCTTGCTGACTTCTGCTTTTGTTGGCACTGGGAGATTTCTTTCCTGGCCGTGTGGCAGTTAAAGACTTTAGAGTTGACTGACATAAGCACTCACCTTAAATAGAGGTTTCACTAACCCTCTGACTTACGAACATATGTCGCAACTATATATTATGACCTGTGGGTCGCTATTACAATATGTGACATATGGTGAAAACAGACTAGCTGTAAAACATCCTTCAACTTTTGCTATATTATTATATTGGCTGCCTTATTGCTTGGTGTTGTGTCAGCACTTCTTGACATTCTTTTGTATTATCCATGTTGTAATCACCCCTATCCCCAAATTGGCACTAGGTCACAACTAAAAAAAATAAATTCATAAATAACTTGTATGGAGGAAGCAGTTTTGTGAGGCAGGCATAGGGGTGACAGGTCAACATTCTTTTTGTTGGTTTTTTTATTCCACTCTGTACTAATAGCTGTCTCTGTAAGTATGAATTAAACTAAGCTGAGGCTGTGCTATGCTATGTATTTCTCTTCTATAAACTCTGCTTATTCATCTGTGTTTTATAGTCTATGGACTTGCATGTCTTCTTTCAGGTGTTTTTTTTTTTTAATCTATCATTTTAAAGGAAGTAAAACTTTTTTCTATTGGATCCTATATCAAAGCATTTGTATTCATTTTATTGAGATCCAGTAACACCGAAACACTGTTTCATTGCCTAAAACAGTGATTATCAACCTTTCTCAACTCATGGCACACATAAACTAATTACTAAAATTCTGCAGCACACCCAAAAAGTATACTTTATGTCAATATGATTTAAAAATAGGTATAATTTTGATTTGTTCAAACTGGACAACTATTGTTGTGTTGGCTGCTATCATTTTTTTTTAAATTTGACAATCTAAGGGAAAAGAGGTCAGTGTCCCTAATTAAATAGTCAGATATTGCATGTTTTAAAAATTCTTGTGGTACTCCAGGTGAAAATCACTGGCTTAAAGCAAAGAGGGCCATTTAAAAAAAAATCAAAACAATGATCTCTTAAATCAGTATTTTGACGCATAAAGGGAACATAGTACATATTTATATCACAGACAGGGTGGAGCAAAAGTGGGTTCACAGTTGTTCATATGGAAAATAATACAATAACACAAGCATATAAGCTCTGCGTTTTGGGTACTCACAATTGTAAACACACTTTGCCCTCACCCTGTATTTATGTTTTATCCTGCCCTCACCCACGGTTATCATTTATATTCATTGGTTTCTAAGAATATGTTATTGAACATTCTGAAAATTGCCCATGTTTTTATGACATACAGACTTTGTTTTCATGTTGCTTTATAACTATATATTTCAGCTTTATTTTTGTTTTTTTTTAAAAATATTATGGGAGGAGCACGGTCTTTGTATCTAAATCAGTAGCCAATATTGAATTTCTTTTGTTTAATTCTGAAAGTCCATGGTATTGTGATTCTTTATAATGAGTTCCTTTATGTTATAATTCCTACCAATTTCTTTTACCTCTCTGACTATTTCAAATATCTTGGTGAAATTATTTGTAGAGACCCTACATAATCCCTCCTGTATAGCCCAGAGCTTAAAAAAGTTTACTGAAGTAAGGATTCAAACAAGAAAGAGACTTCAACCACATACCTTGAAGGTATGCTCGAGTATGAACTAGCTTTATCTCAATTAGTCCCCTTGAAGGTAGTGAAAAATATGGCAAACATTCTGTTCTCAATAGCATGGTATAAAACAACATCACTGACACACAAACCAACATGGGTGGGTTGGGTCACAAAGCAAAAGATCCTGCTATTGGTAGCATAGAAAGCTCCTGAGCTTGTGGAAGAATGTAATTGGCTTTGAAGCTTCACAGGAGAGCATTAAATCATTTAATTCCTCTTCTGCCTTTCGTCCCTGACACCAACGATCTAACTTCCCATGATATAATATAATAAAATGAACTTATCTATTAGAGGCATTTTGATAAGTACTTATGGAAGTGCAGAGTATTTTTTGCAAACCCAAGGCGCAGTATAAACTCTGTTGGGCTCATCATTTGTACTCATCCTTTCCCTTTGCAGCCTGGTGGCTGATGTGGTGGTATTCAACTCATTTTTTAATATGGAGTCATTTCTCACTTCTATTGGGAGATTTATGAAGCTGATTCCTGACCACAGACCCAAGGATCTGGAAAGCATCATCAGACCCAAGTGCCAAGTTATTTACTTTCCCATCAGGTTTCCTGATGTGAGCAGGTCAGTATGTTTGACTCTCTTTGTCAAATTATTCCCCAACTATGTAGGAACTGGTGTTCTTCTTGCCAATTTTACCTTCTCAGCATAAGCATGGCTAATTAGAGAATCGAGTTCCATTTCACCATGCTGTGACTTGCAAAGATTTTAAATAATCATTTGTCCAACCTATCACTGAATGGTTGGTTACTTCTGATATTGAGATCTCCCTTTTTTTTCTCTTGTTTATTTGTCTGCTAAAACAAGCTATTTTGACTTTTACCACTTACTGTTTTGGTTTCTCCCTTGCTGTTTTGTTAAAGAATTCATTGTCAAGCCTATTTCTCAACTTCTGCATTCAGCCTATATCCACTGATGTATATGTATTATAATAGCGATTCTAAGTAAATCAATGCTAAGTTTTGCAGCTTGGGTTACTTTCATTTTCCATGCTATTTTCTTAACATTTCCCCTTTCTCCCATTTTTTATTACTTATATTATCTTAATAAAGAGGTGGGTATTCTAGGTTGGGTCACAAAAGTGCTTAATTGCCATTTCTCTTTCTCAGTTACTAAGGACATTTTTTATTACCCTGGTTGCTAGGCCCACCCTGAATTAGCAACGGATGATGTGGCTCAAAGGGAACATTTTAGGATTCCTTTTCACTTTTGATTAAACCTAGCAAAATTGTTTTTACTACCACCAGAAGTATTTCTCCCTTGTGAATAGTAAGTTTGCTTCAGTGGGACTCACACTAGCTGGGGATGCTGCTGTTTTGTAACTGACTGTGTCCTTAAAAAGAGTTCAGGGACAGCTGTCTCTTCCCCATCCTTGAAATGAAGGCAGGAAACGATTTAAATGTCCATACGTGCTATGCAGGAAGTCAGCAGTATTCTCTGTGTTTTGGACTTTCTGAATTTGTCCAGATTTTGCTGTGGAGACAGTTGTCCTCATCCACACCCCCACTACTGGTTTATTTGAGTTTGTTTTATTAGTAAATATTTCATTGAAGAAAAATCTGCCTAATGCCAAGTCAAATGAGTGAGTCATACAATTTCAGTTAGAGCACCTTGCCCAAACCTTGCTTTTCGGAGGTCAGAGAGCAGGCCCAGAGGGCAGAGATTGTCTTGAACTCACACAGCTGGTTATTGTCACAGACTAGATTAAAGTTTGGACCCTATGAATTTTTATTCCATTTTCTGTTACTGTCCAAGCTTCCTGTCAATGTTAGTCATTTGTCAAAAATATTTAATAGTTTATTTACAGTTTTGAATACTAGCAAGCTAAGTGAAAGTAAGATAACCATCGGTTTTCAGATATAAATATATATGTATGTATAATATATATTTGTATAAATACAATTTTTACGTCTGATGAGAGAGTTTCAACTTTTAAAAAATATAGTTGTTATATATTAGATCCATGATTATCTCAAACACAGCTTATACTTTAGATCATATTTTTAAAATATAAACCTTATTTTTGACATGTTTTTTTATATTTTTTATATAATATAAAGTCAAAATGTACATCTTTAGGCAAATAGGTGGTTATAGCACATCTTAATTATTACTGCTATAGAATTCCTAATAAATACTGTTTTAAATTCATTTGCATATGATATATTCCTCCATCATTGTGTGTTTAATACACCTGTGGCAATTGAATAGTTTATTAATTTGGACAGTATTACCATAAACACATCTAGCTAAATGGAAGAAGGTTAAGAAATATTGTGGCCAAGATAACATTCATAAGCGAGGTCTTAGCCCAGAGTGTTATTTGAGTTATTTTCAAATGGTAATTTGCTTTATCCACCCCAAACTCGTATAGTGTAAGTAAGTGATTATTTGCATGAATGACAATCATTCTAATGCCTCCAGTCTTAAAAGAGTATTATTTTGTTGAGATGTTGAAAAATACTTAGTAATTCCAAAGGCAAAGTAGCCAATGTGATTTTAAAATACAAACACAGTTTTTGAATGCTTGTATCTTTCTCCCTTTACAAATATTATTTGGTCATGGGAAAAAATGGGTTTAAGTAAAAACAAAGAAGAGGATACAATTAAATTGTTAATACAATGCGCTGTAATAATATATAATAATGGATATTAAACAGGGAAGGGAAAAAGCCATATTTTAGCAAAATCTGTGAGGCTTTATAACGCTGATAACTGTTAAAACTCAGAACATGTCTGTCACATAGGAAATCAGTAACATTTGGCTTATGGCACCTGCTACACATGTCTTCCTCACCCTCCACTGCTTTAGTCTCAAAGTCCAGGACATAGTATAAAGAAAGAATGTTCACTTGAAAATATTTCATTTTATGAATTAATTATTTTTAGATGGGAAATCTCTTTAACACAAAATACACATATGTGTATTTGAATGTTTACCTTATTAGCTCTACAACCTGTACGTATAGTGAAATGACTCTGAGCTTAGGTTCTTTAATGGTCATGATTATTTTTACTTTATCACCACATAGGTATGATGTTGTGACTAAACGAATTAGTGTGTGGCAAATGCCTAGCATAGTGCTGACATACAGTAGAGTCCCAATGAAGATGAACTATTCTTACTAAACCCCAGCCCATTGTTTTATAACCTAGCACATTTATTGCCTCCTGAAGATAAAGGATAGTGTTCTTCTCTCCTTATTAGTGAACACATACAAATATAGAGGCACTAAAAAGAAAAAAAAGAGAGACCAGCTGGTTGAATGTCGACCCAGGAACCCAGAGATATCGGTTCAATTCCCAGTCAGGGCACATACCCTTTTCTGCCCAGAAAGGGGTATGCAGGAGGCAACCAATCGATGTTTCTTTGTCATCATTGATGCTTCTATCCCTTTCTATCTCTAAAAATCAATAAAAATGTATTTTAAAAATAGAAAAATTATCTGCCATGTAAATAGATCAATTTACTTATTCTCTTTATCACTCTGACTCAGTCTTTTGATCTTCAGAGAACCTGCCGCCATTGTTTGAGCCAACTCCTCACTTTCATTCTTGTCTTACTCTAATTTCCCCCTTCTTCCCCAGCCCAATTTTCATATTCTATTGTAATACTCTTTTGCATATACTTTCAAATCTTTTACCCCCTTTCCTTTGTATTTAATAAGGAGACGGCATCCTGCCATATTTATTAGTCTACTCTAAACCCGTGACTCCTAAATTCAGATGGAACCTTGATCTGCCTGGCAAGCATACCACATTTTCCTCTTTTAAATAACTACAATGGCTCCTGCATTTTCCTTCCTGGGTAAGTGTCTAATAGTAAAGTCTCTAATTTCATCCTCAGATCACAACTGAGAAAATAGAAGCAGTCAGATGAGAATTCTGACCTCTGATACCACCACGTCTCCACGGTTGTGTGCTTCTGGGGCCTGGTCTCTGTCTTCACACCGTTCCTATGGGAGAACTGGCCTTGCTCCTGTCTGAGGCCCTTCCTCCACTCCACTCTCTGTTGGAGCCCATCCTTCTCCCAAACCTAAGGACTTTTGTTCTAAAAAGTTTTTCTTCTCTCTCCTGCATCATCAGTTTTCCTTTCTTTTGGAGCATTCCTATTAACATACAAAAATGTTCTTAGGTTTTACATCTTTTGAAGAAATTCTCTCTTGATTCCACATCTCCCTTCCACTACTGCCTCATTTCCTTCTTTCTCTCAGGACCAAAACTTCTTGTAAGACTTGTTAATATTTGTTTCTGCTAATTTCATTCCCATTGTTTTCTTTTAAAGCGACTTCACTGAAACAGTTTTTGTCGAGGTCACCCATGACTTCCATGTCTCTGCATCCTGTGGTCACTTCTCAGTCCTCATTTTACTTAAGGTATCACAGTAATTGACATATTATGACACATCCTTCAGTTGGTTTCTAGGTCTCATAGGTTGCTGCTTTTCAGACGTGGTGTTGGCTTCTTATCATTGCCCAGCCCTTTAAATTTGGACTGGCCTTTGTCACTCTTAATACTTAAAGGGTTGGTAGAGGAAGAGCCAAGGATTGAAATGAGAAAAGAAAATAAAGGGAGCAGAAGGTTAACAATGAGAGAAATATCTTGTGGAACAAAGAGAAGAATGTTTTAAGGAGATGGTCAGTAGGGAAAGCAGAGGAATGAGATTGACTAAGTGATGACTAAAATGTATCCTTGAATTTTTCAATTCAAGTGTCAGTGGTACCCCACCCTGTATTCTGTTAGCTCACTGAAAAGTTTAATATGTTCTTTCTGGTAGCCACACAAACTTAGGATTCAAATCTGGATGACTTGAATCACACACACACACACACACACACACACACACACACACACACACACACACATTCTGCTCTTCCTTTTATGGATGAAGGCACTGAGGCCCAGAGAAGTTAAGTGTCTCCTGATAATCACACAGCTAGATAAAGACAGAGCAGGAGCTAGAACCCATATCTCAAAATCTCCCTCCAGTGCTCTCACACCACTGATTGCAAATTCAATTTCAGCTCCCAATTGTCTTGTTGCTCAGCTGACAACAGATTAGCAGCATCCAATTGGGGGTGTGATAAAGGCCAGCTCATGACTGCAGTAAAAAGTGACAGCTGACTGACAGCTTGACAACAAGGGAGGAGAGAGATAAACTATTAAAAAATATGAGAAGTGAAACAGCGTAGCAGCCTGGAGCCTTTCCGGGCAGGGCAGGCAGCTCTCACACAGAAGGTTCCCTGCCGACATTTGTCCTCAGTGGCACAGCTTGAACATCAAAGGATGGCTGTGATTTTATTATGAAAGAGCAAATGGTAGCCCATAAATTCCTTTTAAGAATGTAAAGAAATGGCTCAGCTGGTGTTGTTCAGTGGTAGAGCATCGACCTAAGAAGCAGGAGGTCATAGTTTGATTCCTGGTCAGACCACATGCCCAGAGTGTGGGCTCGATTCCCAATGTAGGGCATGCAGGAGGCAGCTGATCAATGATTCTCTCTCACCATTGATGTTTCTATCTCTCTCGCTCTCTCCCTTTCACTCTGGAATCAATAAAAATATATT